CCTTGCCCTACATCCGTGGTCTGCATGGATGCCAATAGAGAATCATGATTAAACCCCTAGCGGTATGCTTGGCTGTGCATCAGCTCTCCCCTCTTCTATCACAACTCTTTAGAACACTGATAATCAGAGATTCCCAAAGCATATCACTGTGTGCCTGTGAAAACTAGTTCTACAGATGACAGAGGAAGCTACTGTGCAAAATGTTCTGGGGCCAGGTAGGTGTGAAAGAAAGTAAACAGGCTTCTTTCCTGTTGGACTTCTTAGAGCCAGTGCACTTTGGGACTGTCTGGGGGATTCATGTGCTGCATTTCTAAAATTATCAGGGAGCATCCCATAGGTCTAGCACTCCTCTCACATCTTGGGAAAGACTGCTCTAAAATGACTGATTCCACTTCTTCACCCCATTCTCCTTTCCTGCTTTTTATTTTTTATTTTATTTTTTAGAGGTTTTTGCTATAGGGCGCGTGCACTCGCCAGTCCGACAGAGACAGAGAGACAGAAAGTGAAAAATCACCCCCCCCCCACAGGGGGAATGGCCACGCCACAATCCCTTCTCCTCCATTCTGGGATCTCGGGCACACATGCCCACACGCCTGGCGTGGATTTTAAGCCACCATGTCCAGGCCTCGAACCGCTGTCGACTACATGGGAGTCCAGTGACATAGCCATTACGCTAACTGCTGGTTCTTTCCTGCTTTTGGGCTCCTCCTCTATGTCTGTTAGGCCAGGATGTTTTTCCTTCTTACCTATTTCTCATCTCTTGCTTACATTTTACAAAATGAAATATTTTCAACGTACTACACTTCCTCATTGGAGCAGAAACATGGCTCCTCTGCAGACAACACATGTACAGCTAGGGGTCACTGAGACCATGACAGAACTTTCTGATGTAGATAATATCAGTAAACTGTGAGATAGGTGTTCTATGATAGTATAAATATGGCATGCTTCAAAATAATGAAAGTAGAATCAAGACAATTTGTGACTGTAACTGATATAACTCAGTGTGTGATTGGACAGCAACCGAGTTATGGTGTAAAAAGTGGGGCCAGCAGGTGGTATGGTAGTTAAGGTGCTGGACTCCCACATGGCTGACCGTGGTTCAAGTCCCAGACCTGGTGGCTTGTTCTCTCTCTCTCTCTCTCTGGTGCACATGTGCCCCATAGCAATTTTTTAAAAAAATAGTAATAATAATAAATAAAATTAAAGAAACAATTTTTTTGGAGAGGTTTTGCTATAGGGCATATGCACTTGCCAGAAGGACAAAGAGAGACAGAGAGACAAGAAGTGAGAAATCACTCCCCGGGGGGATGGCCATGCTGCAATGCCTTCTCCTCCATTCTCTTCTCAGGATCTTGGACACGCATGCACATGCATCCGGCGTGAGTTTAAACCACTGGGTCCAGGACTTGAACCGCAGTTGACTACATAGGAGTCCAGCAACATAGCCATTACGCCAACTGCTGGTCTCAAGAAATAATCATTTTACAAAAGAAAGAAGTGCTATTGTTGTTAGTTGTAAGCAATCAGTATCCCCCACAACTTCGTCATATCACAACTGTGATTGTTACTGTCAGTACCCCCACAAAGGTAGAGCAATCCATCATACCAGGCACTTCACATAGATCATCTCAGTTAATCTTCACCAGAACCTAAGTGGTAGGTATTACTATCTCCATTTTGCACTTGAAGCCTGAGGCTCACAAAGTTAACAAAAAGGCTTAATTGACATTACTGATAAACAGTCGATCAATATTCAATTCTAGACTTTTGACCTTGAAACTCATGTTTTATACCTTACTGCTTCCTGTTTATCTCACAACCCCAAAATGGTAAAAGCTGTTCAAGTTTTTTCTTGTCTTTCATGGTATGTTCTGGAAGGACCTAAATGATTCAGTTTGCAACACACATAAATGGAAATAATAACATAAGAGATTTCTGAATATTTATCATTGGTAACTCAGGCACAGATATAAGTTTCATGAGGAATAAAGAAGGAAGATATTTTCTAAAGAAATCATGGACAACTGTAGCTTTCTATGCTATGTTTCCAGGGCAAATACGGCACTAGGGTTTCTAGTTTCTTGAGCATCAACTCTGATCAGCTGGTATTATCTCCTTGGCATGCTGTGTAGAATATTTTCTGAGGACGCGTGCAGGGTTTGAGAGAAAGTGTGTAGTGATCAACTAATGATATATGTCATGGGCGCAAGTCAGAAAATTTATAGCAATTATTTTTATTTATTTATTTATTTTGAAGAGATTTTACTAGAGGGCATGTACGATTGCTGGAAAGACAGGAGAGACAGAGAGAGACACACACACAGAGAGACAGAGAGAGAGAGAAAGTAAGAAATCACCCCTCAGGGGGGATGGCCATCTTACCATCCCTTTTCTTCCATTCTCCTCTCAGTATTTTGGGCACACAAGCACATGCGCCCGGCATGAGTTTCAAGTTGCCAGGTCCAGGACTCAATCAGTGGTTGGCCATGTGGGGATCCAGTACCTTAACCACTATGCCAACTGCTGGTCCCTACGGCAGTTATTAAATTATCATCTCTCATCTCCAAACCCATCCTTCCAATCTTTTCTTACTTAGAGCTGGAGCTGAGAGCTATGCCATTCACTCCATGAGAGGTTTTGTCAACAGGGGGCATCTGTGGGAAGGGACCAGCATCTTTCTGTCTGCTTCCCACTTCTGTGAGCCACCCCAGCTTTGCTTCTTCACCCTGGCAGTGGCAATTCCTCCCATAGCAGTAACTGAATCTTGGTGGTATTTTTCAAAGCTCACAGATCCAGTGTTGATCTCTGCTGCCCTCTCCTCTCAGTTTGGGTCCAGACCCCACAGGGGCTATTGTAAGAGCTCAGAAATACCAGCACTGGCCACACTGCACCCTGCTCAAAAGTCTAAGTTTCATCTCACAGGTCTCCTCCTCCAATGTAATATTTTAAAATTTGAAATATAATAAATCTAATATTTGCAGCATATTTGTTTCCTCAGCTGTAGGAATAGAAAGTGCTTTCTGCAGTTGCTACCTCTAGGAACTTCAAGTGGTATGACTCCAAGTATAGTCCTATGAGTTTGTTAGAAATGCAGAATTATAGGGGTTGGGGGCAGAGGGAAAGAAATAGAGAATTATGAGGTCCAGGTGATAGCACAGCGGTAACACAACTGGACCCACATGGGAAAGGTCATGGGTTCGTGTCCTAGAGCCTCCCTGAGTATGCTGGATATGTGTGCAGTGCATGTGCCTGTGCTAGATGAGGCCGTGGAGACCCAGTTGGGGATGCCTGTCTCTCCCTCTCTCTCTGTATCATGGAAGAAATAAAGAAATGAACTAAAAGTAATCTTTTTTCCCATTTTCCTTTTCTTTTCTTTTTCTGCTATAGGGCACATGCACTCAGGGGAAAGTGAGGAGCTCTCCCCAGGGGGATGGCTACTCTGTATCCCTTCTCCTCCATTTTCCTCTTGGGACTCTGGACACACACTCACATGCACCTGGCATGTGTTTCAAGCCACTGGTCTGGAACTTGAACCATACAGTTGCCCTTATGGCATCCAGCTGCCTCAACCACCATACTACCAAGTTGGCCCAATGAAAAATAATCTTAAAAAATAAAAAAATACAAAATTATGAGCCATCACCACAATTTACTGGCCTAGCTCTTCAGATGAGCCTTTTGCACATTAACTTTCAAAAAAAAAGTTTGTTTATCTCTTCAGAGAGAGAGAGAGAGAGAGTGAGAGTGGTACCACCCCTAAGAGGGTCCTCATGTCACAATCTATCCCCAGCCTCAGTCAGCCTGGATCATGGGCACACATGAACATTCAGTGTGCACAAGGAAGTCTTGGGATGCGAACCCTGGACCTTCACATGTGAGTCCAGCTTTGCAGAGTGTTACCTTACCACTACAACCCCAGCTGGCTCTACATTAACGTTTGAGAACCACTGCCTTCAGATTCTCTTTTTGCCCTTTCACTTAACTACTTAGTAACTGTCTACGAGTTAGTAATTCTTTTATTTTCAAAGAAATATGTTATTTAACTTAATGTATTTACTTATTATTACTATTTTTAAATTTGACCAGAGAGGGACAGAACGAGAGAGAGAGAGAGAAAGAGAGAGAAGAAAGTAAGACACCAGGTCTGGGACTCAAACTGTGGTCAGCTGTGTGGGAGTCCAGGGCCCCCACCATGCCACCTGCCAGCCCCAATAATTCTTTATATTAAAGTCTCAGTTCACATCCGAGGAGTGGTTCCTGTCTCCTGGCTGGACCCTGACTGACACAACATCTCAGTCCTGGGATGCCTTGTCTTCTCCATAGCATTAAGGATACGCTGTAACACACAGGCTCCACGCACCTGGGCATTCACGCGGGACGCATTCTCCAGCTGGGCTTTCAGAATGTTACACTTCACATGATCTGCCGCCGGGGAAGGCAAAAGTGGGGTCTGGAGAGTTTTCTCAGAAACTTTCTTCTCTTCAGCCTGAGACAAACAAAAACATGGGCAACGGATTGTAGGTGAAGAAGAAAATAAGTGCATTAACTTTTCCCCAAAATCATAGCTTCAAATAGCTCATAGATCTAAATACACAGACAGATGTGTCACCAACTCCTAGTTTTTTTTTAACCAGTGCTTTACTATTCACAGAGGATTCACAAGCACATGTCATTCTCTTGAGAAATAGGGAAATGATATATCAGAAGACAGAAGATCTGGATTTAAATCTCAGCGTTTTCCCTTACTAGGACCATTTTTAAAGGATGATGATATAGTGAGAAGAAAAATTATGCCAGGCCAGACAGGGGCATGGTGGTTAAGGCAACTGGGTTCCCTATAGCTGACTGTGTGTTTCAAATCCTGGACCCAATGCCTTGGAAAACACTTCAGGTGCAGGACCAACAGTTGGCATAATGGCTATGTCACTGGACTCCCATGTAGTTGACCACATTTCAAGCCCCGGACCTGGTGGCTTAAACTCACACCGGGCGCGTGTGCGTGCGTGCCTAAGATCCCGAGAGGAGAATGGAGGAGAAGGGATTACAGCGTGGCCATACCACCCGGGGGGTGATTTCTTGCTTTCTGTCTCTCTGTCTTTCTGGCAAGTGCACGTGCCCTATAGCAAAAACCTCTCAAAAATAAAAAAAAGAAACACTTCAGATGCATGCCCAAAATCACAAGAGGAGAATAGAGGAGAAGGAATTGCAGTGTGGCCACCGCCCCCTCCAGGGGGATGCTTTCTCACTTTTTTCCCTCTCTTTCTCTTTCTCTCTCTCCAATAAGTGCATACAACCTACAGCAATTTTTTTTTTTTTTAAAAAGCAAAAAGGTTTTGGGTTAGGAAAGAAAATAGAACAACAATAACAAAGGACATCAGGTGTGAGGATGCTAGGAATCCTAAGCCATCCAGTTAGGTTTAAAGAACTGGCTGGTTTGACCAGATTTATTATCCTAGGGACTCAACTTTTTCCTTTAGGCAAATAGTAACTTAATTATTTTGAAAAACAAGATTTACAGTGTAGCCTTTAGATAATTTACCTTGTGTTTATAACATTAAGATATTTGTTTAGTACTTGAATGGATGTCTTCATTGATGTATGAACAGTTAATTAATTAACTTTTTAGATTTTTGTACACACTGGGGGGGGGTAAGAAATCACCCACCGGGGGGATGACTAGACCACAATCCCTTCTCCTCCACCCTCCTCCTGGGATTTTAGATACATGCGCGTGTTCCCAGCATGACTTTTCAAGCTTCCAGGTCTGGGACTTGAACTACAATTGGCCATGTGGGAATCCAGCACCTTAACCACCACACTGCTTGTGGCCCCTGAAGAGTTCTTTTTTTTTTTTTTGGAGAGGTTTTCACTGCTTGTGGCCCCTGAAGAGTTCTTTTTTTTTTTTGGAGAGGTTTTCGCTATAGGGTGCGTGCGCTCGCCAGACAGAGAGAGACATAGAGACAGAAAGTGAGAAATCACCCCCCAGGGGGGATGGTCACGCCACAATCCCTTCTTCTCCATTCTCCTCTCGGGATCTTGGGCACACATGCACACGCACCCGGTGTGAGTTTTAAGCTGGCCCCTGAAGAGTTCTTTTTTTTTTTTGGAGAGGTTTTCGCTATAGGGTGCGTGCGCTCGCCAGACAGAGAGAGACATAGAGACAGAAAGTGAGAAATCACCCCCCAGGGGGGATGGTCACGCCACAATCCCTTCTTCTCCATTCTCCTCTCGGGATCTTGGGCACACATGCACACGCACCCGGTGTGAGTTTTAAGCCACTGGGTCCAGGACGCGAACCGCGGTCAACTACATGGGAGTCCAGCGACATAGCCATTACGCTAACTGCTGGTTCCTAAGAGTTCATTTTTAAATTAGATTTAAGATTTTTCGGGATGGAGTGCTGGGATAGAATGACAAAACTGGTTGCAAAGCTCCTTTGAGGTTTCTGATGACTGCTTAAGGGGATGCAGTTATAGACAGAAATGACTGAAGACCTACTATAAAAACTGGAATGCTGCTAAAATAAGGAAAGAATGAGCATTCAGCATTGATTTCCCCGTTAATCATTCTGAACTGCATTTCTGGGTGTAAAATCCCCACTGGCTTGTTACTGTTTGATCTGGACAAAGCAAGAACAGTAATGTTCAACTGCATGAACAGACTCAGGCAAAGGTCATAGTAAATTCTGGAAAAGTTGTGCATCATTTTATGAATTTGTTTATTTAAAAGGCATCTCTATCTGAGATAAATTAGTCTGAATTACAGACTAATTTCAGACTGGAGGTTGATCCCAAGAATGTGTGATTTCTCTTTTTTGAATGACCATGTTTTTTTATTTACATTCAATCAGTTTGAACTGTGGAAAGATACTTTGTTGTTCAATATGGAAATACAGATTGCCAAACATACAAATGAATCACTATTGGGCTTTGGTTTTATTATAATTGGAAATCGTCCATCTGTTTGGGGATGTTATTTGGGGATAAAGAAATGATCAGATGTGTATTTAAGATGTTTATACGAATCGCTTACACATTTGAAATCTGATGAGATTTAAATTCCTGTGACAAATTTGGGCACAAATTTGAAATTGGGTAGTGAAAATGACTTGTTATTACTAAAGCAAGAATAGGACTCTATGCAACCGGAGAAGAATCAGAGGACTCTTGATTCTTGAGCCTGGGTGAAAAAACTTTTCAAAGCTAAACAAGGGACCAGCAGATAGCATAATGGTTACATTGTTGGACTCCCACATGACCGGCCATAGTTTGAGTCCTGGATCTGGCAGCTTAAAACTCACACCGGGCCTGGGACCAGCAGACGGCATAATGGTTATGTCACTGAACTCCCATGTAGTCAACTGTGACTCAGGGACTTAAAAATTCACACCGGGCACATGTGCGTGCGTGCCCAAAATCCTGAGAGGAGAATGGAGGAGATGGGATTGTGGTGTGGCCATCCCCTGGGGGGTTGGGAGGTGTAATATCTCACTTTCTGTCTCTCTGTCTCTTTCTGTCTCTCTGGCGAGCACACGTGCCCTATAGCAAAAAATCTCCCTCTGGCCCCCATAAATAAATAAATAAATAATAAAAATTAGCAAGCCAGCAGTTTCTAATTATGGCATAATGGTAAGCAGGGAGGTCTAGTGCGAGGAAAGTTTTATTAATGCTAAAGAATCACAGTGTGACGTATTACACAGGTCAAGCATCCCTAATCTGAAAATCCAAAATGTGAGATGCTCTAAAATATGCAGTCTTTTGCATGTCAACATGATGCCACAGGTGGAAAATTCTACACTTGCCCTCACATGGTAGATCACAGTCAAAATGCAGTAATACAAAAATACTGTATAAAATTACCTGCCAACTACATGTATAAGGTGTACATGAAACATACATGAATGTCATCTTTAGACTTGGATCCCATCCTCAAAATGTCTCATTAAATACATGCAAATGTTCCTAAATCCAAACACATCTGTTTCTGAGCATCTTGGATAAAGGATACTTTACCCAGACTTTGCTTATGTGTTAGGACAAAGTCGGTAATCTGTAGATCACATCGCTCTAGCTCAAGTGAGTACTGATGCATTTCTCTGAGTGGAAGAGAAGGAGGGAAGTTACTGCAAGCTCTAGGAAAGTGCTCAATAACCCACAGGTATCTTGGATACACCTGCGCCCAGAACGAGCCACTATTGCCACTGTCCCACCAGTAGTCATGGCAACTGCACATTACCACACAGCTTGTGAGTTCTCTGCTGCACAGTGTGCTGTATTTCCTTGCAAAATATTTTTGGATTTTGTCACACTCTGGATGAGTCCCCATTAAAACCATATATCATGTGTTTTGCAGAAGAAAAGTAGAGAAGCCAGAGACTGAGGGAAAGAAGACTAAGACAGGAGAAACATGATGTGTTGGGTTGCATCCCCTGCATCTAATACAGGCCTGTTCAATTAAGATTTATCAATGGATTGATTTGAGTGCCATCCAGCAGAAAGAATTCTTTTTGTTTAATTTAAAGAATTCTTTATTTAATTAAATTAATTAATTAATTATTATTTAATTTGACCAGAGGGAGAGAACGAGAGAGAAAGGGACAGTGAGAAAGCAAGTTGTCAGGTCTGGGACTCAAACCATGGTCAGCCATGTGGGAGTCAAGTGCCTTAACCACCCCGTCACCTACCAGCCCCAGGAGGAATTCTTTCTGGCTGGCGTTTAGGGACAATGGTGGTTTCCAGGTGGGGTGATTTTGCCCTTCAGAGGATATGTGATAAGAATGTCTGGAGACATTTTTGGTCATCATGACTGAATGAAGGTTGCTTCTGACATCTAATGGGTTAAGATCAGGGATGCAGCAAAACACCCTACTGTTGCACAGGACAGCCCCCCACTATGAAGAACTATCAGGGCAAACCTCTCTAGCACCAAAGAACCTAGCATAGGAAACGAAGCATGATGGAGTACAAAGGCCCCTGGCCTGGGAGTCAGGCTGGAGGATTCGCCCCTGCTGTGTGGCCTTGAAAAGGTTATTTGCTCCCTTCTGGTCTCAGATGTTGAGAAGGGTGAACTAAATGAGAGATGAAACCCAGCACTGGCATTTCCAGTTCTAAGATAAATGTTGGCTCTTATAAGACTGCCCACTTGGATCTAAGAGCAAGTTTCACAAAAAGGAAACTTCACTTCTGCTCTGTCTCTTCCTCCTGACTTTTCCCTTCCCTTCCTTCCGTCAGCAAATGAGTACTGAACAGCTGCTGTGTGCCAGGCACTGTCAGAGGGAGGTAGGGGGGAGAATGGAATGAGGTCCATGTAGATGCTCCCTTGTGAAGCTTAAGGTCTAGGAGAGAGAGACAGTTAGCAGATCTAGCCTACTGGCCAAAGCACTGAGGGTGATGTCCATGCTGCGGTTCATCTAAACAGAAGCTAAGTGATTTGTGTTCCCCAAATGCATCCTGAGCAAGTCAGAAAAGGGTGTAGAAATCCCTCCAAGACAAAGGCACATGGGTTATGAGGCAGCCGTGGCAGTACTCAGAGGTTCCCCTGGCACCGACTTCAGGCTATTGGCAGAGCCCCCCGCCCAGGCACCTTGTTTATGTTGAGGTGTAGAGCAGGCCAGGGCCCAGCAGTCTTCACGGTTTCCAGTTCCAGCTTCTTCAAATGGGCAGCGGCTTCACTGAACAGGGCAGTAGGTCCTGGACTCAGTTCTACAAAGTGGCCAGGGGAAATGAAGAAGGAGAGAAGATACGGAGGGTAAGGGACGCTTGCCAGAGCCCAGTCGCAGCACCCTGTCTGCCTGCAGCCCCCTCCTCCAGCAGCTGAACCCCTGGAGTATGCACTGGCTGTTGGGGTGTGAGAACACGAGAGGTAACGGTTTCAGGCCTAACTCCTTCACTTATGAGCTGTATGGCCCTTGGGAAGCTGATTTACCTCTCTGAGTGAGCCATTTCTAAAAGAAGGTAAAATTACTTACCTTCTGGGCTTGCTGTGGCTATTGTGTGAGGTCATTCATATACAAATACTTTAAAAATGTAAAAGTACCAGGTAAATTGCAAAGTTCAGTCTTCAGGCAAAGAGGCAAATAAATGTACCCTGGAAAGCCATGCTTGTTTTTAAAAATCAAACCCATTGATTTGAAGCATGGGGAGAAGACTGCAGACTTCAGTGGAGCCAGGCCATGGAGATCTGTGTGTGGTCATGCTCAGAAGGTGGGCTTTGTCCAGGCCTGTGCAGAGCTAGCGAAAGGCAGCTACTGTGTGGCAGCTGAGCTGTAGCAGGCACCCCACAGGAGGCTGTTACAGTCATCCAGACACAGCAGGATGAGGTGGGGCCTAGGGCAAGGGCATGTGGATAGTGAGGAGGTGACAGAGTTCAGATTCTTCAGTATCAAGTGTGTTAGGAGTTCCTTGGTCTACAGGAGAAGACTGGCTGGTCCTGTGTCAGCAGCTCACAGGCTTATGACATGTAAGACTGAAGATTCCTTGGTGGTCATCTTAACACCTACCCCATTCCATAGACAAGAAAATGGAGGACTGGGGCCAGCAGGTGGTATGGTGGTTAAGGTGCTAGACTCCCACACAGTAAACTGCTGTTTGAGTCCCGGACCTGACAGCTTGAAAATCACACTAGGCACGTGTGTGTGTGTATGCCCAATCCCAAGAGAAGAATGGAGGAGGAGGGATCGTGGTGTGGCCGTCCCCCCGGAGGTGATTTTTCATATTCCCTCTCATATCTCTCTCTGTCTTCTGCAGTCACATGTGGCAAAAACTTTAAAAAAGAAAAAAAAGAAAGGAGGATCAAAGAGGAAATTCAGCTCAATAGTGAGAACTAGAAGCTCCTTGTCTCTACCTCAATGCTTTTCCAATTGTGTGTGATAAAGAATCAGCTTTCACCCTTAGTCTATCAGAAATGAATTCTTTGGTAAAATATAAGTTTTCCTAGAAAAATAAAATGACAGACATATACCATCCAAGTCTATTTTTAAATTAGATTTGATGGATATAAAGAGCACTCTGTTGGACCACCAGTGGCATGGTAATTAAGGCAGCTGGATTCCACACGGCCGACTGTGTGGCTCCGGTCCCAGACCCAGCAGCTTGAAAAACATGCTGAATTCTTTGGTAAAATATAAGTTTTCCTAGAAAAATAAAATGACAGACATATACCATCCAAGTCTATTTTTAAATTAGATTTGATGGATATAAAGAGCACTCTGTTGGACCACCAGTGGCATGGTAATTAAGGCAGCTGGATTCCACACGGCCGACTGTGTGGCTCCGGTCCCAGACCCAGCAGCTTGAAAAACATGCCAGATGCGTGTGTATGCCCAAAATCCCAAAAGGGGGGAGAAATGGGAGGAGAAAGGATTGCAACATGACCATCCCTCCTAGGGGTTATATTTTCACTCTCTGGCTCTCTAAAGCAAAGAGCATATGCCCTCTGGCAATTTTTTAAAAATGTTTAAATGATGAAAATGAAAAGCAAACCATCATATTGCTAACAATGCTTCTAACTGCTCGTGCTCATTTCTTTTTCTTTTTTAAAATAATTATTTTAGGGGACCAGCAGTTAGCATAATGGCTATGTCGCTGGACTCCCACATAGTCAACCGTGGTTCGCGTCCCGGACCCGGTGGCTTAAAACTCACACCGGGGGTGTGTGTGTGCATGCCCAAGATCCTGAGAGGAGAATGGAGAAGGGATTGCGGTGTGGCCATCCCCCCCCCCGGGGGGGAGGGGGATTTCTCACTTTCTGTCTCTCTGTCTCTGTCTGGTGAGCACACGTGCCCTATAGCAAAAACCTCTCCAAAAAAAAAAAAAAAAAGAATTATTTTATTTATTTATTTATTTTTAATTTGCTATAGGGCACATGTGCTCACCAGAAAGAGACAGACAGACAGAGAGAAAGTGAGAAAGCAAGCCTCCATGTCCGGACTCAAACCACAGTTGGCTGTATGGGAATCCAGCACTTCAGTCACCACGACTGCTGGCCTTGCTCACGCTCATTCCTACAACTTCTCTCACCGAGACCCATAACATTGGGCAGAAAGGATCTACTTCACACACCTCGCTCTCAGAAGTGGGATGTCTGAAATGGGATAGTATCGGTTTTCTGTTACCGGGAAAGTACAAAGTCCAGCCACCACCTCCCTCCCTCTTTCTCTTTTCCATATCTTGAACCAGTGCTGGCCACTGAACAGGCTAAGCACTGGTAAGAAATAAGGCAGAGAGATTATTACTGTCCTGGGATAACATTAGAGTTTCCTAGGGGTCCCCTGTAGAACAGTGGGTAAGCCCTATGTACAGGGAGCCAGAACCCACATGGCCAACTGCAGTTCAAATCCTGGCCCTGATGGCATGAAAAACACGCTGGCAGTGTGTGTGTACATGTCCAAAATTCTGATGGTGCCTACAGGTGGCATAGTGGGTAAGACACTGGGCTCCCACATGGATGACAGTGGTTCAAGTCCCAGATCTAGTAGCTTGATTTTTCGCTTTCCCTGTCTCTGGTCAAGTTAATAATAATAATAATAATAATAATAATAATAGCAAATGGAATTAAATAAATAAATAATGCTAAAAGAACCCCTCAAAATCATATCCCTAAACTGCTTCTGCCTAAATATACAGAGTTTTTGCCACTTTTTTTAAAAAAAAGGTTTTCTATAGGGTGCATGTGTTCACCATTGAGAAACATACAGTGAGAGGGAAAATGGGAAACTACCCCCGTGGGGGTTGGCCATGCCACAATCCCTTCTTTTCCATTCTCCTCCTGGGATTTTGGGCACGCACACACACCCACTGTGATTTTCAAGCCTCCAGATCCAGGACTTGAACTGTGGTCGACCATGTGGGAGTACAGTGCCTTTACCACCATACAACCTGCTGTCTCTCCCCCCTTAATGCCGGAGGATATATGCGTACATGTGAAAGAGTGGACAAGGGAGAGATTGAGAAAGCATCCCTGATAGGGCCCAGTCATGCTACAATTCTTCCCCCCCCCCAATTCTCCATCCTGTCAGGATTCTGGATGCAAGAATACATCCCACTGTTCTTTTCAATCTGCCAGGGTTGGGATTCAAACCCTGGTTGGCCATGTGGGGCCCAGCTTACCTGAGCATCACTTAACTGAGGTACTATGGGACTGGCCCCTTTTGTCCACTCTTATCCAAACCTGGTAACCGCCCAGCAGAACAGAACTCCCATCATATGCCACACTGAAAAGGTCTGCCTTGAGGATCTGGGGAGGGCACTTATGCCCTGCAATGTCACCTCCTCTGTGCCCCCTCCCCCCATCCCTGCCCCGCCCCGTCACTCCTACTTACTTGTAAGAGACTTAGTGCTGGAGTTTGGGGACCTCAAAGGCCCCTCTTTGTTCTCCAAAGTCAGTGAGAGGCCATAGCTTGGGTGGTGCTGGTGCTGATGTTGGTGTTGGTGCTGGTGAGCGTGGTGATGCCTTCCTGGGGCTTTGGTGAGGAAGGGGGTGCCCCCGTTCTCCTCAATGCCGAACGGCAGCCTGTCCGAGCTGCTGAGTGCTGGGGAAGGGAGCGGGTAGCTGTGGAGGGTGATGGAGTCAGGATTTAGACAAGCAAAATGCCTGGGTATTCCTGCGTGTGTTCTCAAAGACGTTCTCTAGGCATTAAACACCAAGAGAAATACAACCAACCAACAGATCCATAAGGTTATTGTAGACCTAATGGCAACGTGGTACTCAAAGGGAAAGAACGAAGTGGAAATTTCTATGTATCAGAAACCTAAAACCTGGCACTTAAAAAAAAATTAACTGAAATCCCAACAGGATGGAGAAATGGAGGAAAAACTATTATGGTCTGACCACATGCCACAATCTATTTCAATGTAATTTCTGTTTTAAACAGATAGACTCTAAATGGGAGGAAAGTGAGACAGTGATGAAAATTATTTTTCATGATCCTATGACAAGATCATGACACAAACCTAAAGTCTTGGAGTCACTTTCTCTTCCTCTGTCACCGCCAACATGCCCTTGTTAATATTACTGCTACACCATCTCCCTGTCTCTCTCTTTAGGGCATGTGAGCTTGCCAGAGAGAGACAGAGACAAGAGAGACATAGAGCAGGAAAATAAGGAATCACTCCCCCCACCCCAGGAAGGATGGTCATGCCATAATGCCTTCTCCTCACTATCCTCCTCAATCTGTCAGGTCCAGAGTGCGAACCACAGTTGGCCAGGTAGGAGTCCAGCACCTTATCCACCATGCCACCTGCTGGCCCCACTGAGACACCATCTCTTAATCCCAGTGGGTCCTCTCTGCTTTTACCAATATTACTCTATTTGAAGCTCATGCCGTCTCCCACCCAGACTCTTGCTTACCAGCCTGTCCTTCACAGAGCAATTGCCCAAGTGCCAGTCTTGTTACTTTGTAAACATGGCGTTCCTTCCTCAAGGAGTGTGAATGCACCTCTATACCTTTCAGACAGGAACCCCTTTGGAAATCTTTTCAATACCATGGACCTTCCCTGAGGCAAAAGGAACCAACATTCCACACACAACTCCAGGCCGTCCATAGCCTCTCAGTGGGCCCCAATGAAAAGCCCCAGTCTGCAGAATTAGAGCCAAATTTCTTTATCTGGCACTGACAGCCTCCCATGATACTGCCATATTCTATTCTCCTCCAGCCTCATCTCCTGCTACATCCTTCTCTACACCCCAACTCTTTTCCCATCTTGGTGGCTTTCGCCTCTTTCTGTCCCCTGGACATCTTCGTCATCTCTCAACATAGCTAAAACACCTATTCCTGGGCCACCCTGCAGAGCAGTAGTTAAGCTCTGTGCATAAGGAGGCAGATCCCACATGGCCAACCCAGTTCAAGTCTTGGCCCAGCGGCTTGAAAAGCATACCGTGTGTGAGAGAGTGAGTGCATGGATAGAGAAATGGAGGGAAAAGGTTGCAGCATGACTATGCTCTGTTGGGGATGCTTCTGTCTGGTGAAAGCATGCACCTTTCAGAATATATACCTTAAAAATATAATAAAAATAAATAAATAAAACACCTTTTCCTTCAGGAAGATTTTGAACCTTTTTTCTTTTTTTAAAAATTGCCAGAGGGTGTGTGCACGCCCAAAGAGAGAGAGAAAAAAACAAAAGAGAGAGCAGAGGGAGAAGCATCCCCCAATGGCAGGTGACATATCACCTCCAAAATGAGAGAGAAAAAAAACAAAAGAGAGCAGAGGGAGGAAGCATCCCCCAATGGCAGGTGACATATCACAATCCTCTCCCCTCTATTTCTCCATCCTGTTGGGATTTGGGGCACCAATGCGCACACACCTGCTGTGTTTTTCAAGCTGCCCAGGCCAGAATGTGAACTGTGGGTAGGTCACATAGGATCCTCCTCGCTTAACCACTATGCTACAGAGGCTGGTCCAACTTCAGACTTTTAGACCCGCATAGATTCCCTCCTCACACTTCCAGGGAGGGCTAATCTTCCTTCTGCTCCTTCCCACGGTCCGGATTTTTCCTGTCCACTCCTTCACTCTGCCATTGAAGAAGTCATAGCTGGGCAGAGGAAACTATTATTTCATCAGTTACGGTCATATTAGAACAGACTGCTAAGGAGCATAGAGACTGAGGTAATTAATCCTCCTAGCAGAAGGTTCATGTGTTAGGGAAGGTGTTCTAAGAGAGCGAGCATGAGGGTGGGGGTGTAGTAAATTTTGGGTGGGGGGGTGTAGTAAATTTTGGGTGGACATGTTTTTTTTTGAGAGTTTTGTTTGTTTGTTTGTTTGGTTTTTGTTTTTGTTTTTGTTTTTGTTTTGCTATAGGGCACATACGCTCACCAGAAAGACAGAGACAGAAAGCAAGAAATCACCCCTCCAGGGGGGATGGCCACGCCACAATCCCTTCTCCTCCATTCTCCTTGGGATCTTGGGCACACACGCACACTCGTTGAGCTTGAGTTCAAGCCACTGTGCCCAGGACTTGAACTGCGGTTGACTACATGGGAGTCCAGCAACATAGCCATTATATTATGCCAACTGCTGGTCCCATGGGTAGACATTCTTGAAACAGAACCCTCTTTCATATAGGAAAGCCATTCCTTGTGTTTGCATGGGTGAACAATTTTCAGCTACCTTGGCTGCCTCTTGGTGGGACAATGCCATTGTGTGTGGGGGGTGAGGGTGGGCAAAGGATGTAAGAATGTGGAAGAAGGCATGACATTGGCTCCTAGGAGTCCTGGTCCATCCTTGAGTCTCTAACCTGAAACGGGGACTCGACTCTTCCCATGGAAGCAGCAATAGGGCAGCATACCAGGTGGGGTTAGTCATCTGGGCTCTAGTCTCAGTTCTACCCCAATCTTAAAGTGGAATCTGGGAAGCCATTTGGGACGCCAGCTCCCCCCATACCATGGTGCAGGTTAGGTGATTTCTGGGCAAATTTCCAGATCTGAGTATCATCATTTCCCCTAACCATTTATTCAGTACTTACTATGCCCCACATTTCATAAATTTGTTTGTAAATGTGGAGACATTGTTTGATACACAGTATGGTATAGGTACTCCATGAAAGTGGGACAGCTAGAGGGAGGGAAGGAAGGAAGGGGAGGAAAGAAGGGTTAAAGACGTCAGGGAGCTGAGATTTGATGATAGCAGAGCAGACTCCAAAGTCTGGTAACGTTATTTTCCTGTCTCTCAAATATGTTGAGAATAATATATTTCCTAAGGAGGTGCAGACTGGGAGGTCAGAACAAAGAAAATGGGAGAGAGTTTCATAACTTGGCTCATCTTCCACCCTGCCTGCTCTCCTCACTGCTGCCAGTCTTTTGAAGGTCTGAGTGGGCACTGAAATTGTCTAGGCAGGAGGAGCAAACCAAGCAGAGAAACACTGGAAGGAAGAGAGTGACAGAATGGGGGTATTGGTTTGATCTAAGAAAGGGAGACTATGGAAACAAGGAAGGGTCAGAAAACTCAAAATTTCTAGCCTAGGGGACCAGACAAATGGCATATCAATAACAGAAAAAAGGAAATGGAGAATGAGGGCTGTTTGAGGAGGGAAAGTTCTGACTGAGCTTCCAATGGTTATAATGAGTGTGAGAATGAACACCCAAAAGGAATGACGTCTTAGAGCAGAGGTCTGGCATACATTCGGGGCTGGGGGTGGAGTTGGAAAGCTCTGAGTAAGAATTTCTGAGGGATGGCAAAGAGATATCATCTCTGGTGCCAACTCCAATTAATTCTCACTCTCTGCTTGGAGTGCAAGATTGAGAAGGTTTCTGAGGTTGTGCCCAGCTCAGGGGGAAAGA